AAACGAACTCCAAACTCCACATCAAGTATCATTCAAATTCCTCCAGTTGTTCCTGAGTTGAATTAACTGCACAGACATGGCCAGCACATAATACGGTCTCCCTATGGAGTTCGCCCAAAAAAAGCGTAACACTTACATAATTTGAGGTATAATTCAGTTGTAGCCATAACGTTTATGACAAAAGGAAGTTATTGCTATCCATTCTGATCCTTTAAGAATTGTTGGTATATACAGCATTAAATTTTAAAGTTTTGCTAGTAAATCTTTAACTATATAGACATTTTATGTCTGTAAATAAACTTAAATATTTGTTAGATTTTAGTGTTTCTATTCAATTTTGGAGATTATCCAGGATTTCGATTATCTGGGAACATATATTTACCAACCAACATGGATAATCGGGAGTCTATTTTCCTTTAACTTTATCGGGTGCTTTGATTTGTTATCTCAGCCCTATGTTCATAAGAGGAATAAAAGGAGTTAACTATGATTTAAACCAGCCTCAAAGACGGGTCTATAGGAGTGTTGATTGAAATTCTGTTGTGTCATATATTAGTTTTTGAACCATTTCAGTAACCTAAGTCCTTCTGTTAGTCTGTAAAAGTTTAGATTATGCTGACCCGGTCTTTTGTTGCCTAATCAGAGACTGAATCCCTCAAAAAAGTTAATCAGTTTATTATGAGGTTAGTTGACCACATCAGCTGATCTCTTATTTTGTGAGTGATGTGCCTTGAACTCGATCGCAAAACGAACTTACATCGGTGTGACGTTATCTCCACCCTCAACCATGACATCTCCTGACTCATGGTGTCGCTTAAGAAAGTAATTTTTCCTGACATGCAGAGGCATGTCCTCGGACCCGTGTGTCGAATCTTTAGAACCACTCCGATGGGGTGTCCTGATGTCAAGAGGCACAAATTGCCAGTAACTACTAGGATCATACACAAAACTATTTCCTGTCCGCGGCAAGTACTCACATTTACACAGCCCAGTAATCGGCTTGTCATCACAAGTACCTTTCAAATGTGTATCCATCTGTTCTTGAGAAGCTACCTTCATTCGAATGTCAACTGTTCCAGTTTTATGATCATATTATACTGAAAAGGTAGCAGGAGCGCCACCAGTGTTGGTGTTTACACTTGTTATTTCGTTAGCCTGAAGAATCTCAGATTTCTCTGTTCATCCTAATGTCTTGCTGTTTTTATGCTCTCACTGATCACACGCGAAAAGTTCGATCGTAAAGGTTTGTTACTCTCTGAAGTAGCAATGTACCTAGTCTCCTTTTTCTATATGCATATAAACAGACTTCCAGTTGACAGTTACCATAGTTACAACTAATACTGTTGTTTACTTCTGTGATGATTTCTGTTGGGACGGTTTTTATATTGTTGATATGATATTCATTGTTACTGGCGCAACAAATAACTGCGTAAGAAATTTAGTTGAATATTGTCAGTTTAAAATTGACACAGATGTATTTCTCATTGTATGAACTAAATTTTAATTTAACCTCAAGAAGTGATAGTGGAACAACGGTTCCGTAGAATTTGACGTAAATATTTCAATACGGAGAGGAAGTTTATATATTGTCATTATTCTAAATATTTCCTTCATACGTGCTTTATAATTGAGATAAATTTGATTAAGACATTGCTTATTTAACTTCAATTATCCACGCTTAAAATGGGTATGTGTTAGCTGACAACAGTGCTGAGTAAACAGATGAGGTCTCCTAAGTTACATAACATTGAAGTTGAACTTTTTCGTTTTTCTTTTTTCGGAACACTTTTTCGTTACACATTTTTGCCGAATAACTCTTTACTCTTTAATGCCATATACCCAGAAGTACATGGTTCTTAAATCTCTTTATAAGTAATCAGCTCTTTAGCCTTTATATATATATATATACACAGAGTGAGTCAAAAGTATGTTTACAAACTTTGTGTGATTGTACTGGCAGAATGCATGACAGATGATTCGAGGAAACAGTTGTGTACAAACGAATCCATCAGTCTTGTGTACGTCGCGCTTGGGCATGTGTGGAGAATGGAGGAGCAACTTTTGTGCATCTGTTCCAAAGAAACTTCTGTGTTCTTATACTTGGCAATGAACACATACATTGAAACTTATTTTTGTCGCTTATTTTGAAAAATAAGCATTTGCGACCACGTGTTCATAGGAACGTTTCTTCTGATTTTTGATCCAGGAACATGCACACATAGTTTGTAAAAATACTTTTGACTCCCCTGTATGTGATTGTTATTTTATTAAATTGTTTTATCATTAAATTGTGTAGTATTTTTAATTTTAAATACATTGTTATATAAAAGACTAATCCTGACTCTTTTAATGCCATGTACTCAGAAAGAAGTACATGGTTCATAAATCTCTTGTTACGTAATCAGCTCTTTGGCCTTTATATATATGTTTTTTAACAAAAAAAATAGAGTATTAATGTTTGAAGAAGGTAAAGGAAGTAAGAATCTTACTTCCCAGTTCTTCATTGTTTCCTTTCACTTGTGTCCAGTTATTATTATTTTATTTCTCAGACATATCCTCATTTGAAATGACTGAAGGCCATTATCAACCACCTATATCTGCTGTACACAGAGTGTATGTATTGTAGCAGTTATCAGGGGCATTATTCCGTCATCTTGTCTGCGGTATAATACAGTGTGTCTCACTAAATGCGGAATCCACTAGGAGACATGCCAGAGCAGCAGCAGGAAGCAAACTACCAGGAAATGAGTTGGTCACAATTTGAACATAGCCATCACATGCTTGTAGGTGGGTTTTAACTTACATGGGACTCATATGGGCAAACTGTTTAATTTGATTTCATATTAGACCAACATAAAATGATGTAAAAATGCACCTGTTGATAATAATGTGAATCCTTCATGTCGTGCATTCATGGCTTAAATATATGTTTATTTTCACAATTGTAAACGGTGTTGTTTACTGGTTACATTCGGTTTGGTTAGATTATGTTAACTTTGGCTTATTCTTATTAACCATTCACAGTGAATTACTTTAATATTATGTTTTAACTATTTTATTGCCATGTGTGTTGAAAATTAATGTGTTCCACACAAAACACATTAGCAGGCTAAAGTCTGTAAATCCCTGGACTCTGATTTCATTCAAAGTTGCATTAATCAAAATTAGAGTAAGGAATGAAATATAACTTACATGAAACCAATATCGATATGTTCATGTCCCATTGTTTCCAATGTGCTGTTTTCTTAGTATAAACGTTATTCTGATATCCTATGGAGAACTTGCAAAAACAATCTCTGGCTCAGTTTCAGCCAAGGTACATGAGAAGAATCCTGTTGTTTATGAACGTAGATAATCCGCACACACTATCTCAGCACAAGGAACATCAGGCATGAAGAAGGCAGCAGTTCTGGGGCAAGTTGATGATGTGGAGTTGCTTCATATGGGTAATAATTCTAATCCTTCTCTTTTTTTACATGTCGAGGGAAAACATTAATGTGACGTTTTCATTTGTTGGTAAATGCACTTTTGTTTTGGAACCAGTCTACAGGGCTACAAATTCTCTCACTTGTGAGTATGTAAGACAGATTAAAATTAATTTTATTATACTTTTAGTCTGTGAAATTATGGTTCATAGTGCGTCAGTGTAGCACAGAGTAAGAAGAGAGTGCACTTTAGGTATCATGATAAATTTAGTTCAGCTGCACATTCTGCAATAGATTTACTTTTACTAAATACCAGGAAACATGAAGTTATACTTTCCCACTGTGAATGTAGGAACTTCTTAATCTGGCAGTAACACACCATTTTGTTTTTCACAGAGAGCTAGGTTTGTGTCCTGTTTGCAGATATATTTCTCTGCAGTGAATTTTGAGAATGTGCTGAATTGGAGGTTGTTGCTGTTGTGTGCAGCCTGTGAGAGATTTCAGAAGGCCTGTGCCAGTGTAATTTTCATCATTCTGCACTTTGAAAGTGTGCGTTCTGTCTGAAAATGAAATTCTTAGCCACACCAGGTATAGTTGAAAGTTGATAATTTACTCATTAAGATCTTGCTTTGTACGAAAATTAATTCAAATAACTGTTTAGTTCTTGCAGTTATAATTTAATTTGCAATATTAAATGTTCTTCTGCTGTTGTGTGAGTTAATGAGTTTACAGGATAATTAATTTTCTACCTTAGAGTAAGCTGTCGTCACTGAAATATAAGCTTCTTTTGTTACCTGTCTTAAAACCCTTAGAATGAGATTTATTAGTAGTGCATGGCATTAACTTTATTCTCTGAAATCACCACTTTATGATCAAATAAAATAATATCAAATATCTTTGAAATAACAGAATGGAACGGCTGTCCTCTGAGGTACAGATTTTTTCCTGTAAAGGTCAGAATAAATTTCCATTTTTCAAACTTGAACATATGACATACTGTATATGTTTATATGTTTGTTTCACGAGATGTGATAATTACATCCCTGAAATGCCCCATAAAATCTGTGCTTAATTACTTGCACAATAATGGTTGCTGTCTCTTTTGAAGCAGTCTTCCTGCATACCAATACACTTTGTGAACCGGTTTATCCTCTGCTGGAAACATTTCTGTCACTCCTTTAGGAATGCTTTTCAGGATGGCCATTGCATGTCCCTGAATTTCTGTGGCCCATTGAAGCAGTCGGTTTGTAAAGGTAGTCCATAATGCTGTTTAACCTGTTAATAAATATTTCAGAGTCACCTGTTGGTGCTCTGTATATTGCTAAAAAAACAATTTAGACAAATTTGTATCAAATTGACAGCACGGCATTCTACAATTACATTATTACAATATTCTATTTCAGTTAGAGTCTTCCCACACGTTCTTGGAGTCGACTAGGCTTCAAAATATTTCTTTGTACGTCAAGAGTCCATATGACTCTATCATGGAGATATTTAGTGACTTCGTAATAGTTAGAGACGAAAATCTTGGTGGTTTTGGTTGCTCTCCTCTGCGTTGTAGCGCCGTGCAGTGTGGAAGAAGCTTACCAAGGTTTACTCCCCTGTATGTGATTGTTATTTTATTAAATTGTTTTATCATTAAATTGTGTAGTATTTTTAATTTTAAATACATTGTTATATAAAAGACTAATCCTGACTCTTTTAATGCCATGTACTCAGAAAGAAGTACATGGTTCATAAATCTCTTGTTACGTAATCAGCTCTTTGGCCTTTATATATATGTTTTTTAACAAAAAAAATAGAGTATTAATGTTTGAAGAAGGTAAAGGAAGTAAGAATCTTACTTCCCAGTTCTTCATTGTTTCCTTTCACTTGTGTCCAGTTATTATTATTTTATTTCTCAGACATATCCTCATTTGAAATGACTGAAGGCCATTATCAACCACCTATATCTGCTGTACACAGAGTGTATGTATTGTAGCAGTTATCAGGGGCATTATTCCGTCATCTTGTCTGCGGTATAATACAGTGTGTCTCACTAAATGCGGAATCCACTAGGAGACATGCCAGAGCAGCAGCAGGAAGCAAACTACCAGGAAATGAGTTGGTCACAATTTGAACATAGCCATCACATGCTTGTAGGTGGGTTTTAACTTACATGGGACTCATATGGGCAAACTGTTTAATTTGATTTCATATTAGACCAACATAAAATGATGTAAAAATGCACCTGTTGATAATAATGTGAATCCTTCATGTCGTGCATTCATGGCTTAAATATATGTTTATTTTCACAATTGTAAACGGTGTTGTTTACTGGTTACATTCGGTTTGGTTAGATTATGTTAACTTTGGCTTATTCTTATTAACCATTCACAGTGAATTACTTTAATATTATGTTTTAACTATTTTATTGCCATGTGTGTTGAAAATTAATGTGTTCCACACAAAACACATTAGCAGGCTAAAGTCTGTAAATCCCTGGACTCTGATTTCATTCAAAGTTGCATTAATCAAAATTAGAGTAAGGAATGAAATATAACTTACATGAAACCAATATCGATATGTTCATGTCCCATTGTTTCCAATGTGCTGTTTTCTTAGTATAAACGTTATTCTGATATCCTATGGAGAACTTGCAAAAACAATCTCTGGCTCAGTTTCAGCCAAGGTACATGAGAAGAATCCTGTTGTTTATGAACGTAGATAATCCGCACACACTATCTCAGCACAAGGAACATCAGGCATGAAGAAGGCAGCAGTTCTGGGGCAAGTTGATGATGTGGAGTTGCTTCATATGGGTAATAATTCTAATCCTTCTCTTTTTTTACATGTCGAGGGAAAACATTAATGTGACGTTTTCATTTGTTGGTAAATGCACTTTTGTTTTGGAACCAGTCTACAGGGCTACAAATTCTCTCACTTGTGAGTATGTAAGACAGATTAAAATTAATTTTATTATACTTTTAGTCTGTGAAATTATGGTTCATAGTGCGTCAGTGTAGCACAGAGTAAGAAGAGAGTGCACTTTAGGTATCATGATAAATTTAGTTCAGCTGCACATTCTGCAATAGATTTACTTTTACTAAATACCAGGAAACATGAAGTTATACTTTCCCACTGTGAATGTAGGAACTTCTTAATCTGGCAGTAACACACCATTTTGTTTTTCACAGAGAGCTAGGTTTGTGTCCTGTTTGCAGATATATTTCTCTGCAGTGAATTTTGAGAATGTGCTGAATTGGAGGTTGTTGCTGTTGTGTGCAGCCTGTGAGAGATTTCAGAAGGCCTGTGCCAGTGTAATTTTCATCATTCTGCACTTTGAAAGTGTGCGTTCTGTCTGAAAATGAAATTCTTAGCCACACCAGGTATAGTTGAAAGTTGATAATTTACTCATTAAGATCTTGCTTTGTACGAAAATTAATTCAAATAACTGTTTAGTTCTTGCAGTTATAATTTAATTTGCAATATTAAATGTTCTTCTGCTGTTGTGTGAGTTAATGAGTTTACAGGATAATTAATTTTCTACCTTAGAGTAAGCTGTCGTCACTGAAATATAAGCTTCTTTTGTTACCTGTCTTAAAACCCTTAGAATGAGATTTATTAGTAGTGCATGGCATTAACTTTATTCTCTGAAATCACCACTTTATGATCAAATAAAATAATATCAAATATCTTTGAAATAACAGAATGGAACGGCTGTCCTCTGAGGTACAGATTTTTTCCTGTAAAGGTCAGAATAAATTTCCATTTTTCAAACTTGAACATATGACATACTGTATATGTTTATATGTTTGTTTCACGAGATGTGATAATTACATCCCTGAAATGCCCCATAAAATCTGTGCTTAATTACTTGCACAATAATGGTTGCTGTCTCTTTTGAAGCAGTCTTCCTGCATACCAATACACTTTGTGAACCGGTTTATCCTCTGCTGGAAACATTTCTGTCACTCCTTTAGGAATGCTTTTCAGGATGGCCATTGCATGTCCCTGAATTTCTGTGGCCCATTGAAGCAGTCGGTTTGTAAAGGTAGTCCATAATGCTGTTTAACCTGTTAATAAATATTTCAGAGTCACCTGTTGGTGCTCTGTATATTGCTAAAAAAACAATTTAGACAAATTTGTATCAAATTGACAGCACGGCATTCTACAATTACATTATTACAATATTCTATTTCAGTTAGAGTCTTCCCACACGTTCTTGGAGTCGACTAGGCTTCAAAATATTTCTTTGTACGTCAAGAGTCCATATGACTCTATCATGGAGATATTTAGTGACTTCGTAATAGTTAGAGACGAAAATCTTGGTGGTTTTGGTTGCTCTCCTCTGCGTTGTAGCGCCGTGCAGTGTGGAAGAAGCTTACCAAGGTTTGAGAGGTCCCTGCTGCCTTCATCATCGCCTTGTTGATAAAGGTAGCAACGACAAATAAAATCTTGGTAAACCTGTCGGACCCAGCGCTTTGAAATCGTAATACCCAACTAAGTGTCTTACGTTGGCAATAGTATCCTGCCACACTGCTGGCTGTTTCAGAGAGCACTCTGGTGGCAAGAACGGTTTTATTCACCTAGTAAATGACCCAACCATGTAGTTTAGCTGCTTCACTGCAGCCATTACAGTGCTTTGAAGATTTCTAACCTAACCGTTAAAGTTTAAGGCATCTTTCTGCCTTCTTTAATTCTCTGTTTGAATTTGAAGAGAATATAAAAGACAGTTTCAGCTAAACTCGCTCTCCTTTTTTTTCCATCCCTCTGTGTCGTGGTGATCGAGCAGTATTCGAACTTCGTGTTAGTTTACTAGCTCTCACCGTGAGTAAACTGCTCGACCTGCAAACGTGCCTGATTCTTTCCATAATCTGGTGCTAAGGAAGAGCATACACACCCATTCTGTATTTTTTATTTGGGTTGTATTTATGTGCATTATGTATTTGCCAGTGAAGTGTAACAATTTAATCAGTGCAAGGAAATTTGCTTAAGAGTTCGTTATGCCACTAAAGTTTGTATGTTATCTGTTAATAAAGACTGTGATACCACCAATAATCTAAGTGGATGCCCATCTAGTTTTGCGATTAAACATGTAACTAACTATACGGAAAATAAAGAATAGCTGTTTACACAAACAATAGGCAATTTTATAACAAGGGATGTATATTAGTAGAGCAGGAAGAGTAAAGATCCATTAACATTGGTATTGCACATGAAGTAATGTGAAATTACAACAGTTGTTAATGACAGCATTATAGTACACTTAGATCAAAAGTAATGATAATACATGAGTAACTTGAAACACTCAATGTAGGAGAGAAGAAAAATATGTTCAAGGAAACAATAAGCAATTAAAGAGTGGGCAAATGTTGCTGATGCTTCCAGTACATTAAAAGGGTAGAAAGATAAAGTTTTATAATTAAAAGATTCGTGTATCATTAAATTCCCATTATTCAAATTATCCCATCTACTGAAGCTGAGATAGCTCAGTCAGTATAGTGACTAGCTACGGGCTGGACGACCGGGGTTCGATCCCCGACGGGGGCAGAGGATTTTTCCTCTAGCCTCTGCGTCCAGACCGGCTCTGGGGCCCACCCAACCTCCTCTACAATGGGTACCGGGGTCCTTTCCCGGGGGTAAAGCCGGCCGGGGCGTGATGCTGACCACTCACCCCCATCTAGTGCCGAGGTCAAGGAAGAGAGGAGCTATACCTCCACTCACCCCAAACGCCTACATGGCGTATAGTGGGACAAACTTTACTTACTTTACTGAAGCTGAGATAAGGTAAAATGAATTACCAAAAATCAATCTTAGGAGGTTATGATGAAATAAGACGACAAATTTTGAAAGCTTGTTGATCTCTGTTTTATCACCTATTACGTAATATGAAATAAGGAGATACAATTAGTGTGAAAAATTATACAACTTCAGTAGTAACTGTGTTTCCCGATGCACTTGAGAAAGATATGTACAATATGTTAGGCCATGAAATGAATATTAATAAAACAACATATTGGGCCCTGGACACTTTGGCTTCAAGGTACATGCACTGAAAATGCTACCTTCATTTTGCCACAGATGTATTGATCAGTAAACAGCTGTTATGTCTTTAATTGCCACTGATCACTTGCTCTTTGGAATGGTTATGAGTTGTGATATATTTGAGGTTATGACTGAATGTTGAAGTGTTTAAGACTAGATTCTGCTTGAAAGGTTTAAGAAAATTGGGTGGTAGCCTGTGAACTGGATTCATCTGGCTCAGGATAAGGAAAGGTGGCATGTTATTGTGAACATATTAGTGAATATTTGGGTTTAGCAAAAGGTGGAGAATTTCTTGACTTTCTGAAGGACTGTACTTTGTACTTCCTGTCATGTCAATTTCATTCGCATTTAATGGCTACTCAAGTTCCTTGGTCCATGGTTTAAACATTTTCTGTGGTGGGTATGCTGAGAACATAAAAAGCAGCTTTCAGACTATTCCAAGCTTGTCTCTTACGCCCTTCTTATCTTAGCTGTAGTATAGAGTGAAGATGAAAGATTCTTAATAAGTATTTTACGAAATTAACAATTGAAATGTAAACATCTTAATTGATTAATTTGTATTAGACATACCTGGAAAACGGTTTAAGAAATAATTTTCTTTTAATGAGCATTTCTGATGATAAAATCTACCTTTTTCACAATCCCAGCCAAATGCTTGGTTGCAGCCCAAACTTCTTACCGAGGGAATGATAATTTGTTGTTTGATCGCATCTGTCACGCCTTTTATATGACAATGACAGATGAGTATGGAGCAGCGGCGAAATGATGATTTGGGGGGAAGCCAAATAACTTTGAAAGAAACTGCTCCAGTGCAACTTTGCCCACCACAAATGTTCGGGATGATCTGCCATGTGACTGGTGTGAGAGCCAAGACAATAAAGTTTTTTTAATGATAAAACCTTGCACATTCTCTGGATGATGCTAAATTCTTAATCCACTTTCAAAGCAATACCATAAAATAAGTATAGATATGCAATGAGTACTCCAAACTAGACGTCTGTTTTCAGATCATATCATGTATTGAAACATTATTAAATAAATATGCAGGTATATGAAAAGGGTAAGGGTTATTGTTTTCAGTGGTCTGGCTTGTAGAGTGCCACCAGTCCACTAAAACTGGAGGAATATGTATTGTTTTCTCATCTCCTTTCCATACAAGCTTTACTGTTTGCTTGGATGTGGCTTTATCAATTATGCAGCTTGACTGCTACACCATTTGATCATGTTTTCATGCACTAGAGGAGCAGAATGTTTCATCACTGGACCAGAGGTTCCAGTCTACGCATTCATGCTTGATTCAGAGTGAAGAAAAAAAGAGAATTTGCCCTTAAGCACAGAATAATTGTGACTCCGTTGAGGTGTGTGTTGTGCAGGTACTTCTCCTTTCATACAAGATTCTTGTGATGATGGCAAATTAGTCCTTTTGTTTTAAGAATATTATTTTTGACATCCTTATACTTTTTGGTACTAAACAGTGAGTTTGTGGGATGTAGATAAAAATTTTATTAAAGATATTTTTAGAAGAAACTGTTGTTAAGAAGAAAATGAAAATAACAGAATATGGGAGACTCAGCCCACCTTCACCCAGCCTTAAGAATGTATGTAAGGACAAGTAAAGAAATGTACTGCAGGAATTTATATGTTTTGCTTGCCATAAATTATTAAACACCGGAGTCAATATTCAGGAGTAGAGACATAAAATTAACAAGTTAAGACTACTCAGACGTTATATTCTCTCTGTGCTTTTATACGGCGCTGAATCGTGGATGTTGACTGAAGCTTCTTCAAAAAAGTTGGATCCTTCGAAATGTGGTTGTACCGACATATTGTCAGAATTTTCTGGATTGACCATGTAACCAACAAAACAGTTCTCGAGAAACTCTGCAAAGATGTCGAGGTGTTAAAACTATAAAAAAGAGAAAGTTGGAATATTTCGGTTATATCATGAGTGATAGTGACAGATACGTGCAGCTTCTGGTGATAATCCAGGGAAAAATATTCAGAAAGAGGGGACCTGGCAGGCAAAGAATCTCCTGGCTTCAGAACCTAAAAACTTGGTTCTCGATGTCCACTGGAGGGCTGTTTCAAGTAGCAGCCAGTAAAGCTCAAATTGCTATGCTGATCTCCAACATCTGGAATGGATAAATATTTTAAGAAGAAGAAGAGTCAATGCTTGGCTGGACGGATCGAGTGACCAACGAAGAAGTATTAAGGAGAGTCAACGAGCAAAGAAACATTCTGCAGGCGATTACGCGAAGGAAAGCTAACTGACTGGGATATATTATGAGAAGGAATTACTGAGTGATATCACCGAAGGCCAGGTTGAAGGAAAGAGAGGACTAGGAAGAAGATTGATACAGCTAACCGACGACCTTAAACAAGGAAAGAAGATGACGTTCCAGGAATTAAAGCGAGAAGCCGAGAATAGGGACAACTGGAGAGCTCTGTTTGGGCAGAGCAATGGACCTGTCGTAAGACAGAACACTTAATAAATACATGTAACTATTGAATAAAGCCCCGTAACAAAATTTTTTGTGACCATTGAATATGTGCTTTACTGTCTCATTACATAAACCAAGCGTCAATGAGCTGAGCCATTGTCACTGTTTTGGCATGAACATGCCAAGTAAACTGATGTGGATGTCTTTGATTTCATGTTACATGGAGACAATACTATGGAAATGATATTTGTATTAGAAAAATCCTTTTCATAGTAATGGTTTTGATAGTTATAAGGACGAAAATCTTTATGAAACAGCTACTATGATTGCATGATGGTGTTTTTCTGGACTTTGTCCATACTTTGATATTCTAAAAACAGATCTGCTATATTTTGAGAGCTGCATCTGCTCTTGTCTTAAGGTGAAATTGCCTATTCTGGTTTGTCCCATAGAAAAGTCTTATTAATCCTTTGGGATTAGTCCCTTCTATGGGACCGGAGCAAATCTAGTTCCCAGAACATAGTGATCTTGTTTTAAAATATAAAATGATGGATCATGTAAAGAAATACAGCGGAACATCTTTAAAGGAGCCTGACGAGGCTCCTTTAAAGATGTTCCGCAGATGCTATTAGATTGATTCAGTACAAGTGTATTGATAATTATTCCATTTCATTCAGTGAGAGAGCAAATTCAAGACTCATAATGAGTATGGTTATTTTACAGGACTCCATCAATTTACAGAAAGTTGTACCTGATTCATATGATGATATGACTCTTGGGTCTTGGTATGATGACAGTCAAGTCAGCAATATCAAAGTTGAGGATGTCGGAGGTGTGAAAGTGGAGGAGGATCCTGTCATGATAACATTTCCAGTAATAATGGCAGAGCATGAGGTGAGTTGTGTGAGCATCGTTAGACACATTGCATCTCCATTTGTCTGTCTACATGCAGCAATTCTGCTCTGGTGAATAGATCACACGTTGATAAGAAATCGATACAAAATTCTCAGTGTGCTGCCTTCGTAATGACGTTTTTGTAAACGATGTTCATGAATCTTACCCTAACACCACTAAGACGGTTTCGTAACTCGAAACATGTCGCCACAAGTGGATTTATTTAATGCAAGACGCAAGGAAAAACTGCTGTGTGTTGATGGATGGTAATATTTTAGATAAAATTAAACGTCTGTAAAATAATTAATTTCAATAAGACTTCTTGTGCAGAAATTAACGAGGAGAAATAATTTATCCTTCTTTGATGCAAACAATATTTCTCTTTTTTCTTTTTCTTTTTTCTTTCTAGCTCCTACGTCAATTCCCAGATTTCTACATTATTTTTGTAAGGTACGTAATTAAAATTAATGTGTTCGTCATGGTCGTAATCAAGTGCAAAATACAGGCAACTCTCGGTTTACGAACATTCACTGTAACGAACGTCGCAATTCATTCAAAAAATTTTAAAGTCGCCAAGAGTTCCTTATAAAACGAGGTGCCAAACGTTCTATAGCAATATAATTGTAAGATTTAAATAAATAAACTTTTAAAAAATGTATTTATTACAATAATTATAAGAAAATCATTATATGATAATTTGTACATGAATTTAGTGTTTTAAAATAGCTCCTAACGAATACAATACGTATCGTTAAAACTCAAAAATGCAAGATACACATAACGAACAACGTCTTGGAACGGAACTCGTTCGTAAATCAAAAGTGGCTGCTTTTTTTCCAATCCAACATTCTTTTACTTTTCTACTCCATTAATTCGTCTCTGAGTTTGTGGGCGTAATCGCTTGCATGCGGTAGGTTCTTGATGACACAAGTCGACAGCAAGGATCTACTAATATTCATGTTTGTCACCGGATACCTGCAATTTGAAATATTAAAAGTGAAAACAAACCCTCTTTCATCACCAATCAGTATTATCTACACTCAAGACAATTTTTATCACATTTCACTGACACAGTTACAGAAAATATGTAGCTCCTCATGTGATGTAATTCTTGAAGGAATACGTCTTCTACAATAAATAATTTATTTAATATAAATTTAATAGAAATGTAATTTGAATGTCTGTGCATTTATGTAAAGAAATTAACCAATTTCTTAAAAATATATATACTTTTTCTTTTGGGGTTCTAACATATCAGAGATTTCGGTGGAGATTAGGTATAAAATAATTATCTCTGTGAGTCGTAAAATGTATTCACCTAA